GAGTTCAGTAACACTGCTGCCTCCCAGGATTGGTGTGACAATAGGTAGAGTTTAAGTCACTGCCTGGATGAGAATAAGTGATCAATAAATATAGCTAGTTAGCCAATTTATGATGGAAAATCTTCCAAGAAGATGAAAGTGTAGAGGAATTGACAGGAAGCAAAGAAATTGAAGTAGGAGGTTATTTTACACAAACTATAAAAATTCAGCAAAGGGAGAGAGAAGTACTTTTTTTCCCATATTCTTCACCAGCCATGGAACAGCTAAGCCACTGTAATTCCATCTCAAAACTACATACAAGGGGTAGTTTTGATTCATAATTAAACAGCTAGTTTGTTCCCTAGGAATGTGGACAAGTATTTTTATCTTGGTTCATTCAAGCAAAGTGATTTTTCTATTAAACAGAGAATTATCTTTAACAATTGAAAAGAGAGCCTGCCATGTTAAGAATACTTCACTTAATAAGCAGAACATGCCATCTGGCCTGGTTGCAGGGGTTGGGGGTGGCAGGAGGGAGTGGCTGATTTCTTGATTCTTTACTCTGTAGATATTTGCCCTCTGAACTATTCCTGTCTATTTCTTCAACCTCAATAATCAGTACTAACAGCAGAAGCACAAAACCCTGAAATAGCACAAAAGCCTGTGTCATGTCATTCCCAAAATTTTGGTTCTGTAACCAAGTATTGAAATAAGAGTTAAAATCTTGTCAGTCCCAACCATGCCCATTTATAATCCCTGATCAATTCACATTCTGATTTTTCCTAGTTGTGCCACATCAAGAGGCATGTTTCCTTGACAGAATTTTAATGGATTACCCTCAAACTATAAATAGTATTCAGTAGCTCTTGCATTTTTGTAGCAGCACTATAAAATTTTCAGATCTATAAGATGCAGACATTTTAAATCTTAGAGCACCTCAATCTTAGCAGAGTGCATTCTTTTATGTGCTAGGAGGCGTTTGTCCATTCCTAACCTTTTTACCTTCAGAAAATGAATGAAGCATGTGACTTGAAAACTGAATTAATCTCGACTGAAAAAGAAATAAAAATAGCTGATGTCTTTATGATCTCCCTAGCAAGCCTACAGGGTGCATACAGTTGCTGTTTCTGTTTTGTAAGCTGCATTATATCTTGCTAATCCTCAGTAAATAGGAAAAACTGATCGTTTCACAGCTAAGAATTGACAAACTGGAACACATCCCTCATTTGAATAGACGAGATAAGCAGGCTGCCCCCAGAACGGCCATCTCCACCCTCGGGTGTGTTATGTCCCGGGCAGAAGCTATTAGTTCATTCCTTGGTCACTGCAGTCATATTTCTATTTCTCTATTCTTGGACCAGAGCTCAGATTCACATTCCAGACAGCCTCTTGACTTAAGGACCATTCAGCTACCTACCTTCTGTAACATAATTTAAAGAAATGGGCACCTCCAATTAAACCATCCCAGGTGTGAATTTCTTGCCTGGAGAGGGAATTGAGAAACGAATGGGATTCATGAATATAAATTGGGCTTTCCCTACACTTAGGCTTTCATTTTGAAATCACAGAGCGTTATCTGCTCCCCACATAAATCTTTATTTGCCTTAAGTGGGTTTACTGCGGGAAGCCCAGTGCAGAGCTGGTTGCCCATCGCTCTGCACAGCTGAATATTAAAGTTCACAAATCATCATGCAGAGGAGGCCAGGGAGGGAGACGCTGCAGCGGCGCCGCACCAGTGCCCTCAGCAGAGATGATTCCCACTCTCACCAGCTGTGCACCTGTGCTGGGATAAAGCCGCAGCACCTCCTCAGTCTTTCCTGCCCCTGAATATGGAGATGTGCTTCATCTTCCTAGCAAGACATTCAGTTTTCTGTGTCTAAACAGCTCTGTTTACTGTAAGATGTATTATTCCCCCCAGTTTTGGTTTAGTGCTGGTATGATAAATGAAGCTCTCCTAGGCCACCTCAATTTATTTTTGAACACCTTCTCTGAAACAGAGATATTTTGGAAATGACTGTGAAAGGATGAAAGGATTCAATAGGCAAATACATAAATCATGTTCAGAAGCAAGGCCACCAAACCTCTCCTCTCCTGTTTGTGTTTACACAGTGGCCACGTGTACTCTGTCGAAGGCCCTTGGAGGCCATTTCACCATACGACCCAATACAAGTCTGACTTTGAAAAGATGTTCCTCTCATTGTCAACCTATGCTTTGAACCTTCAGCCAGAAATGAGGCTCTGTTACATGTGTTAGAAAGGAAGGAAGTCAGCTCGTGTCACAAGAAGTCAGATACAGTGAGACAAGAAACCAGAGTCAAGAAAGCAAAGTAAGTTTTAATGCGCTCTGCAGAGAGTAACAGAGCCGGGCTGTCTAAGGTAAGACAGGCCCAGATGCTCATTCTGAGGCTTCTTTTATGAGGTTTTGGCAGGGCAGAGAGGTCCTTGATGAACAGCTGTCAGCTCTCTAGGCTGGTTCTGATTGGTGAAATGAGGACAGGGGCTGGGCTGTGCCTGTGCTTCTGATGTTTCTTATCTGGGGAGATGCTGGACATTTCCTGAGTCCCTCTTGGACTCTGTGGCTTCATCCGATTAAGTCTCTTAAGCTGTTTTTGGGGGGCCTTTCCTCTCTCTTCGTCCTGCTCATTTCTATCTTTCTGCCAGTCACATGCACCATTACATGGACCTGACAGTGCTTTAACATGGCCAGCTCTTTGCTACAGAGCCCAGTGGTAAGGAAGACTATGGGTCATACATTTTCTAAGTTATTTTCTTATGTGTGTGACAGTTCCTGCTACGGTGAAGTTGATGAAACTAGGAATAGGTCACACTAAAACAGTGAAACCCCATGGATATATGAGTGACAAGAGAAGTTCCAGATGATGGGAAATCATAGAAAACAACGTTTTGTAATTAATGTTAACAGAAATTTCTCTCCAGTGCCTCTGCATGTAGAGCAGTCTGGGAGGGAGGAAGGACCTCGACATGGTCTTATTGCATTTCTTGTTCCCAAATCAGATGTGCTTTCCTTCTTGGATAAGCTGTAGACACTTCAGGTGTGCAGTCCTCTGAGCTAACATCATTAAACAGACCCACAGAGCATGTTGGAGGAAGGGGTGACTGTGTATGTGGGTACAAGGCAGCTGCAGAGAAGAAGGTTCTTACTCTTAATTGTATTCTGAATATGTGATGTCTGTACAAGAATTTAAAATAAGTAAGTTAAAACCACTATGAAAAGGAAGTGGGGTGAATGAGTGTAAAACAATGGGACACATATGAGAAGGTCAAAGGGTGACTTTCTATTCATGCTGCCCCTCCGCCCACCAATCGCAGACATAGGCCCAGCTCCCAGGCTCCCAGCGGGTGTCTCCTCAGCGAGCTCTCTCAGAGCTTTTGGGCTGATAACACCTCATTTCCACCTTGTTTGATCAATCAGGCTGACCTCCTAACTCGGTGACTAGTTCAAAGCACATCTCCATAATATTCCTAAAACGAGTGAGGGTATCCTGTGTATGGCAAATGATAGCAAAAAACCTTCCTCTTAAGGACTATGATTAATTTTTCTTTCTCCGCATCAAGTTAGAGCTGTCACATGCACTCAAAATACAGGTCATTTATTAACAATGCAGTTTATCAGCCATCTGTTTTAACCTTTCTTTCAGTATATATAATCCGGTTCTAAAACTTGGTTTAGTGTTTGTGTTAAGAAAATCTGGGATTTTAAAGCTTGTCTCTCAGGGAATTATATCAAGACACCAGTTGTGTTGACTCCCAGGCCCTCTGTCTGGTAGTAAGACAAGCTTTTGAAGAGCCATTTCACCATAATTTCATTTCTCTACCACCGCATAACTTCCACCGAAATCATGACTTTCTTCCCAACATTTATAAAAACAGTGTACAACCTTCTTGCACTTTAAACCACTTGAGGTGGGGATTAAAATAATCAGAACAAATGAATTCTGACCCACTTAAAAAAGAAAAGAAAGAAACACAACCAACTTACCCACCTAGAAGGGTGCAGATACATCCTTTGTTATTTTTTCTTTTTTTAGGGAATATAAAGTTTTTTTATTGAAGTATCACTGATGTACAATCTTATGTTGGTTTCAAATATACCACACAGTGGCTCAACAGTTACTCGTACAATTAAATCCTCACCTGCTACTATTGCATAGAAAGATGTTACAGAATCATTGACTATATTCTCCATGCTGTACTGCCATCCCTGTGACCAACTTATTTTGCGATTGCAAATAATTTTTCCCCTTTATTCCCATCACCTTCTCTCCCAACCATCCCAACCCCTCCCCCTTGGTAACCACTAATCACTTCTCAGTGTCTGTGAGTCTACTGTTCCTTGGTTCCTACAGATACATCCTTTCAATGTTGTATTCTGTACTATAAGGACATGGTTGCTTATTGCAGTGTTTTACCAGTGGGTTCTCTTAGGAGTTGGGGAAACAGCATAAAGCATGCCACACCATCCACTAGCTGCTGCCCTTTGTCAAAGGCAGTGGGCATTGAGTTGGGGTAGTACAAGATCTTGTTCACTAGAACATGAGAAATAGAGGGCGTCCAAGGTTAATAGGCTGTTGGGTGGTCTCTGGGTGATGTGAATGTGTGCACAAAGATGAGACAATAAGACAATGAGTCAGTATAATTAAGGGAAAAAAACACTCAGTAATCTGCGACTTCTCCAAATGTCACTGAAACCAAAGAAAAAGACAAAAATATAAAGTATAATTTACAGCTGTCAACTGCTGTCAGTAGAGGTTCCTGCCTTTGTGTCATGAAGAATTTACCATTGTCACAACATGCTTGTTGGACCATTCCATGGAAGATGGAAATATCAGTGAACACTCTGGGGCCACCCTCTTGTCCACTCTCAGAGGCAAAAACTGCCCTCTAAGGAAGTAAGCATCTGGATAACACAGCACCGGTAGGGAGACGGAGGTGCCTGAGGCCAGAGGCATCCCTTCTGTCTTCCTGGCACAATCAGTTCAAAAGGCGGTTTTTCTTTACAGGTTACCAGCCAGTCTTGTCCAGTCAGCAGGGGTTCCAGAGCTTACTGGGAGTGCAACAGCCACCCCAGAGTCAGAGCGTGCTGAGCAGCCAAGCAGGAACCCCGGTGCCGAGCGTGATGGTCTCCTACCCAACCGTGTCCTCTTACCAGGTGTGCATCTGCAGCTTGGAAAATTGTGGGCTCTGTGGTCACACTGGCCAACTCAGAGGCCATGGCTGTGTCCCCACATCAGGTGGGCAGCCGGGTGGAAGGTGTGGGCATAGTGAATGGCTGGTGATGGCTGACTTCAAATCAAGATTATAATAGAAAATGGAAAATGCATGTTCCTGTAGCTACTACAGCTTTCAAATGCCATGCTAAGCATGCTTCCATATAAACTGCTATACATGGAAGAATATTCTTTAGTTTAAGTTCTATGCATGAATATCTTTGGGAATCCTATTAGAATTTTGCCTATTGGGACACATTACCATTTGTTTTTAAACACACACCGAAAAGTGCATTTTACACAACTTTAAGTTATAAGATATTTAAAAATAGCACCGCAGATTTATTCAAAGGGAATTTATGGGGTCTAACAAGTGCATTTCACAGACTAAATCCACACTAGGTATTTAAAAGTGTTACACACGTTTGGGTGATTTATTTTATAAAATACATGGGAAGAGGAATGAAGGGCTAATGAAATGCTTTAATCATTAAATTTAGCTGCACCAGGTACTTCTGGCCCAATGAACCTATCCTCAGCCCTCCTACCCAGACAACCTTTGTTTGCATTGCATCAGTTTTTACCTCCAGCTCCACGTTAGGTGTTCTCTAAAGATTCAGGTTGAGAGTGCGGGAGGTGCCAGAGCAAAAGCCCCCTTTGCTATAGATGGTGCCAGGCCACTTGGTTTGCACAGAACCTAAATGGTAGCTCAGCTTTCCAAACTGAGAGAATCCGCAGTGGGAGATCAAGCCTGCAGTGCCTGGAAGGTAACTAGAGAGAGGAAGAAAGGAAGGTCCTGAGCATTCACTGCCTGACAGGCAGGTACCCAGCCCTGTACACCATGCCTACAGTCCTTTCAGCATCCCTTTCCAGTAGGTGTCATTATGCAAACGGTCTAGGGAATCAGAGACCTTCAGTGACTGATCAGAAGTAGAGCTGGGATTGGTGACCTGTTCGATCTACCCCAAAAGCTTGAGACCACAGCAGCTCCTTGGAAGCCCAAACCAACCTGCTCATGCAGGGCTCTCTCTTGCATCTTCCTGCAGGTGCCAATGACCCAGGGCTCTCAAGGACTGCCCCAGAGGTCTTACCCACAGCCCCTCATGCTGTCTGACCAGGCAGGTCAAGGGTCGCTCCCCGCCACTGGAATGCCTGTTTACTGTGACGTCACCCCCCCGGCCCCTCAGAACCTGAGGCTGATCGGCCCCCACTGCCCCTCCAGCACTGTCCCCGTGATGCCGGCCAGCTGCAGGACAAACTGTGCCAGTGTGAGCACCACCGGGTGGCAGGTCAAGTTCTGAGAGCTCGTTTCTTCGATACTACTCATGGTCCTTAAAGGCGGAGGCTCAAGGTCGGAACACCGGCTGAGGACTGTCGTATTCACTCAACACCCAAATAATTGCTGCTGGTATTCTGTAAAAAACAAAAACAAACACAACAAAGACTAATACACACATTAGCTGGTTAATGGTGCATATTTCTGTCATGTCGGCTAGGTATGCCTTTATAGCTTAGCTAGTGACATGAATTCATCAAGGTAAGATTTTCTCCTACCACTGAATACCACTGTGTAGATGATAATATCCCTAATCTGGATGATTAGTTTTGTACTTTGTGTTGAGTTTGTGATGCTAAAAGTATTTAAAAATTATATACTGAAATCACATTGTACCAAAGCCACCATGGAAAAGGAAAGAGTTGATGAACGGAAGGAATAATTTATACACATTATAGAGTTTTCTTTTTTTAATGGATATATACTGTATTGTAGTGTTTAATCCAAATAAAACTATTTGACCTTATGGAGGAAGGTCATGTTTGTACGACCAGTTTGGTTCACTCTCTCTTCCAAATCATGTTGGGGTGTACGGCATTGTTACCCCCTTTTGGCACAGTTTCCTGGGTAATGCATGGAAAAGGTGTTCCAGCTGTTCATAAGTGAATGGGCACCACACTGGGAGAGGTGGTAGGCAAACACTATGAACTCAAGTTTCTAGTCCTAATGCTGCAGAGGTCCTAGAGGTAATGCGGCATCCATTTCACCCATTCATTGACTTTGCATTTTTGAAATGGATCCCTTGGTTTTAATTGCAGAGCTGTGGAATGCATGCAGCTCTCCTTCCCCAGCAGCCCTGTGCCAAAACCTCCTCCACCTTCATTCCACTTCCATTGTCTACCTGGAAAACAAGATTCGTCTGTTGAAAAAGAAATTAGAAGAAGCATGGTCTAATTCCACTGGTTAGATCCCAGGTCATACAATGTAAAACACCACTGGTATTGACAGTGAGTCAGTAGCTCAAAGGTGCTAATGTTTGTCCTAGTTACTTGAAAGAGGGTGAAATACGGCAATAATTTAGTCACAAAATCTCTGAATGTTGGCAAAACATTTGCAAGAGGCCTATTCCTTTCTATCCCCAAAATGTTTAATGCCCTGTAGATTCTGCAGGTGAGACAGATTTATGACAACCTTTGAAAAATAATAACAGAACTCTGAATATCAGCGATGGCCCTTCTGTGAAGTACTTAATGAGGGAATAAAACCCCACAGCTAATATTTTACTCCCACACTACAGGGACTTACAGTTTTGTACTTCATACTTTCTGCCTAAAAACCATTATTACCAATGAGGACTATGGGAAGTATATCTAGATGATTCCCATTGTTTTTCACATTATCACAGTTATCTATATTAGATTTTTCCATTTTCATGTTATTTAGCTGGAGAGAGAGTTAAGCAACTAGTTAAAAACATGACCTAACAGATGACCATTTCTTAATTTTATACTATCATTTTCTTTCTCCCTTAACCGGGAACTTTTACACATAGTCGCCTTAGCTTCATTCTTTGTGAAGTCTGTCCCGTTTCCCCGAGTCTACTGACTGCTTCATTGTAGATAAGCCCTAACCATGAAAAATCTTACAGAAAAATAGGATGTCGCTTTTTTTCATTATGGAGCCATTAAACCAATGGGTTAAGTAGCTTCTAAACCAACAGCTGAGGAGGAGCCATGTGTTTGCCTAATGAATACCTTCCCCTAATGGAAGGAGGGGCTGACCAATACAGATTCATTTTTGAAATATAGTCTCCACTTAGTCATCTGAGCTTGGCGGTGGTCCCAAACAGGACTTTGAATTTTTATCTCCTTTTCAGAGAACTCCGAGAAACTTTTCCCTTTTCTTTAAGGATTTCTAGTGCTGAGTCCTCTTCCTCATGGGTCTGAAACATGCTTCATGCCAGTGGTAAAGACAGGTCTTCCTTGGCCACACTTGTACAAATGTGTCACACTCTTTCCCATGTAGACATTTGACTTGATTGCATAGATCCTTATGCATATCACTTCAGGCGGAACCTTGTTCTCTACCTTCACTAAATATTGATATCCAACATTATGCTCTCCCAAATCCTATGTTTTGTTTACTGTCTTTTACATTAGAGTATTTGAGATGGGTATATAGAGAGATTAGTGAATATAGGATTTATATTGCCAGAACATTCCATTTTTTCATGTTGGCTGAGAGTTTTATCACAATCACATAGTACTCAGTTAATAAGCTGAGATATATGGACACATACTACTCTCCATACATACATACATACATACATACATACATACAGTCATCCCTAATGATCTTTCCTACCTCTGTGTGAGTGTAAAAGGGAACAAGAGCAACTAATGCACTCACTTATTCAGCAAACATTTATTGCATCCTTGATTACATTCCAATTATGTGGCACCAGGCACAGTCAGTACAAATAAATTTCAAGCACTTAGATTTATTCTAGTAAGCTTTATCATACATCTGGTTATTCTGTGATAGTTAGAATTGATTGTTCTAACTAGTATACCAATGGTTTCAGCCATAATTTTTGTTTTAATATAGTTCCACAGGATGTGGGGTGTATTAGGAGAGTGTGTTATATAACATTATGGAAATGGGATTATGTAATCAATTTTAAGTGTGGTTGAAGGATTTAGAATAAAGTTGTAAATCATCATAACAAAATAAGTGGGGTACCCATGAGCCACAGTGGTTTCTAACAGGAATGTGAAAGACAGGGCAAATATAATCAGGTAAGAAAGAATGCTGCCACAGAGAAGCTTTGAGATCTAACAAATGCATATTTAGACTCTACTTCCACTTTTGCAAGCAGCCAGAGTGTGATGGGATGCTTTCCCCTTCCCATCCTCCCATCAACTGCATCCTGTAAGCACAGGTACATGTGTGCACAGAGCTTCAGGCCCTTCCCACCTGTGCCCTGGCACATATCATAACAGGCATCTTCATCATTTACAAACCAAAATGAAAACATTGTAAATACCTCACCCTAAAGGCAGGGTTAAAACAAATTGTTTCGGTTTGGCATCCAAGTAATAGCTGAGGATAGGCATTTCTGAAATATTACCTCTGGAACTCTCTTTCCTGGGGATACTCAGAGTCGTTATGTGAAAAGGATAGTTCCAAAGACAGTTGTAATTGGGAGACAAGGTTAATGAAGGCTAAGCAATCTTTTTAAAAGCTTTCTGATTTCTGGAAACCTTTAATATATCATTTTATATTATGAATTTCCAAGAAGGAGGCCTACTGTGCATAGTTTCTCCAACTTATTTGAACATAATTCCTTTTGTCACAGACTATAGCAAAAGACTAATGTTAGAGTAATGCATATTCTTTTAAAAAGTTATATCAGGGAGTCCTAAAACAAGAGTGCAAATAGTGTTCTCTTATTTCCATAGAAACCATACTATATAACAAGATGTAATATCAAAACCCTACTTGTAATTATGATTTCCTTCGGTAACCGCTAGAGTGTACACTATTTCCTCCACAAATGTGTGAGCCAGAAGGCAATGCAATAGTGCCAATATTTCTGGCTTTTTTTTTGAATTCTTAATGTTGAAGGACTTGGTATATCTAAAATTATAGTACTAGTCATATAGATATATAGGTACAGGTATCTCTCATGATCTGGCACACTTCTATGTGAGCATGAAAGAGGGCAAGAGTGATGGTAGCTCTCATTTACTCAATGAGCCTTCATTGCACACTTCCTAATTTCAAGACTTTGTGCCACATTCTATGGAGTCTCTGCTTTTAGCAAGCTTAGGAGTCTTCAGAATAAATTATACCTGCATATTAATAACTAAAAATATAGGAAATTATTCAATGGATCTCATGTGAAAAATACTCATAAAGTGGGATTTTTCTAGAAGAGCCAGTGGCTTCTGGCTGGGCCATGTTGGCAGGATGGGAGTTGGCATGCAGACATGGGAGTGGGTGGTGAGTCACAACCGCAGCCAAGAGAAATGCCTGGAAAAAAGAAAAAGAAACACAGGAAAATATGAAATTGCCATTCGGGTTGGTTGGAGTAGGAGGTGACCAGATGGAAGAGAGGAACAGGGGATGTGTTTGAAATCCACTGTGGACCTGGTCTGCATGACTCTGAAAGCCTGGGAAAGAGTGAGCAGGCAGCCAAGAGGTTCTGAAGATTTTTTAAATGAAAGGTAATGTGATCTCAGCCATGATTCATTAAGAGTCGTGGATCTCAAAAAGTAAGATGGGTTAGGCTTGAAAAGGCTTTTCGTTCAGAAATGGAAGAACACAGAATAGGTAAGGTTTGGTGCTGAAGTAAATCTCCCATTAGCATTGTTGGGCTAAGTCAGTAAAGAGTTCTAGCTCTTACCACTTAGCAACTCCATTGCAAGCACAGCAAAGTTTTAGGAGTATATATCTTACTTTTTCCTCTTGGACAGAAACTTCTGCATGTAAGTGTCCTGTCTTAAGCTATATCCCAAGGCATAGTTACTCCAACCTTCAGTTGACAGATATTTCACTGTGTATCAATATTAAATATATTGTGCTGGATAACTGGCAGCCCCCCTTATGCAGTCCCCAACTTCAGCTCAGTCTTCATTTTAATCTGTTTTTAAAAAATGGTAAGAACGCTTATCTACTACGGCTCAGAAAATTTTTTTGGTTTTCTGTACCCTATAGATGCTACGTCTTCTAAACAAGACCAGCAATCTTTGCTTCTTGCCATGTTGTTTTGTCCCAAACCCTCTTTACTAAGAGAGTTGTTTTCTTTTTAGGGCTTGGAGATTATTTTCCAATAGTTTGATGCTTTAGTGTTTGTTTCAAGTTCAATATTATGTGGTTTTGCAACCTCTAGTCTTCTTGACCGAAAGATTTGCCACTATTAAGTGTCATCAGTGGCAACAGCTCCTCACTCTGAGCTGGGTTCTCTGCTCCTCTCGGCACCACACACACAGTGGGAGAGAGGCATCACTACTCTTCTGTAGAGGAAAATCATTTCCTGATTGATGTCCTCACAAAGACCTGCTTCTTCTCCTGGGCATGAGGCTGCATTCTCTAAGATAATATTAACCAACTCGCCGACTACAGAAGCTCAGGGAATGCTTTGATGTTTCTATTTGTTATTTTATCTGTTTTGCATTACTGCTTTATGCCATTTTACTCTCAGCATCAGTCCAGAAGGATATGGAAGAGGTCAGATATTGAGCAAACAAGAGAAGATGTAAATCTGTAGAGGGGTGAACCCTGAAACTGATTTGACTTGCAGTCAAGAAACAAACCCAGCAAGCTTTCAGAATGATGGCTGGGCAGACATGCACAGGCCCAGACCATTCTGTTGGGGAGGAGTGGTGTTTTGAATGCTCACCGGCCTCCCTCTCTCTGTGACTGGTATATACAGGGCAGGGGGCACAGCATGCAAGGGTGGGGAGGGAGAAGGCCCAGATTCGGAGGTCCTGGAATTTAAGAGGGCAACTTACTGTGAATTTCTGAATCATGTTTCTTGCT